ACCTACTCCCTGGAGGAAGAAAGATTAGACAGTTGGTTTTCATAAAGATTTCTGTAAAGATCCCAACGGAGGTCACTTTGAGTCAGAACGGACACAATGACAATGAGTTTTTTTTTTTTTTTTTTGGGGGGGGCGGTTAGGTCTTCCAGATTATGAAAATCACTCATTTTTGTCTTGTCTCCATGAAAAGGTGCTCAAATTCTTTTAGTAAACTAGGGTAAAGTATGACACTAATTTATTGAATGTTGTTGTTGTTATGTGCCCTCGAGTGGGACTCGACTCATAGCGACCCCTCCTTGGGTTTCCCAGGCAGTATCACTACGGAAGTAGATTGCCCCATCTTCCTTCCCAGGAGTGGCTGGTGGGTTTGAACCACCAGCCTTCTGGTTAGCAGTCAAGTGCCTTAGGCACTACGCTACCAGAGCTCCTAATTCATTGAATAGCAATTGAATATTCCAGAGAAAAGATTTTTTTAAACAAATGATGTTTGGAATTAGGTTTATAATCAATCATGCACTTATTTAGAGAACATGATTGCCCTCTAGTGGGGTAAAACATTAGCGCAGACTCCAAGGTTTTCCAATCAAGAACAGATGTTCTGGAAACATCTGGGTCACTGGCTAACTCAGCAGTCACTTTTTGTCTGTCGAGTTTCTTGCCTTTTTCATATAAGGCCACACATACTGTAAAAACAGAAGAATGTGTCTTTTCCCAACATCCAAAAGGGAATTATGAGTTGAAGTTAGATAGCAGCTTGGGTGGCCACAGCCAGGTCTAGGCTTGTGAAGTCTTACCTGCTCCAAAAGCAATTTCATTCAGCCACGTGTGAGAAACCATCAGTGGGGTGGCGTGGGGCATATAATCAGTCTTAATGAGTGGGAGTCAAAACACAGTGGTGATAGATAGACGGACTTTTCCTTAAAACGGTCTGGATTTATCAATGACCAAAATCCTCCGTTAAGTATATAATTGATTCATTTATTGATTTATTTTAATTGTCATAAAGATTTAACTTAAAAAAATTCTGCTTGATGGCTACTACTAACTACTGAAATGGAAGAAACTTTTTTTAAAATCTTAAATTAATGATAGAGAAATTTTAATTTTATTGTATGGATCTGCTTTATAGCACTCTGGGAGAGCATTTCCAGAAATCTGTGTGAAATGTAGTCTCTTGCAGCATTTTTATCACTGAGAATAAGCCATTTGATGGAAATCATACTATGGAAAATAGTCAAATAGTCAAATGCTTATTCTATAACTTATCTGTTAGTAATTTAAAAATGGAAAGTAATTAAAACTTTTTAATGTAACAAAGAAAATTCTGCTGAAAATATTACGAATGCAGAGGCAATTGCTCTGACAGTGAAAATGCTCCCTCCTCTAGAATTAAATATTTCACCACACAAATCTGTAATTCTTACTACAAACACATGTTGTATTTAACTGACTAAACAAAATTCTAGGTATTAGTATCACAAATCATCCAATCTTGTCATTAAAAAAAAAAAAACTTCTTTCAGAAAATTTTAACATGTACAAATGAACAACACTAATCAAAATGAAACTCATTTCAGTGGAGTTCCACTCACAGCCAACAGGACAGAGTAGAACTGCCCTCTAGAGTTTCCAAGGCTGTAAATCTTTATTCTTTATGGAAGCATACTGTTCCATCTTCCTCCTGCGCAGAGAGGCTGGTGGGTTCCAACCACTGACCTTTCTTCCTCAGGTGTATTAATTTGTATCATCCTATTAGCTACCTGCAACTGGCTACAGTGGTTCACATAATGCTTATTATAGGCTCATTTACTTGCCTGCTATGAACTAAACATATGAGATTAACTGATAAATCACCGCCGTTTCTCTATTGCATCCTGAAAGCCTGCCCAAATCCTCTGCATTTTCACTTCTAGTTACTTCTACAGCCACTTACAAGGTGCCCAATTCATTAAAAATAATGGGAAATATTATATGCGACTAGTTCAATCATGTTGAATACAGTATTTTTTTTTTTTTTTAATGAATCAAGAAGTAAATAAGCATCCTTCCTAGTGATGAATTGTTTATAGTTTGTTACTGGAATTATTTAAAAAACCTATTATTTCAATATGGCAACAGTTGTGCTTTTTTTTCCCCCCATGATTTGCAAATACAGGTTAATTGTGGCAGAAAGGACATATTTTTTGTCCTATCTTCGTGGGATTTTTATTAATGCAACGGTGGCTACCACTTCATGGTGTTTAGTTGGTTTCTGTGTAAAATTGAAACCTGAACAAGAATCTGCAATTGGAAGAATAGCTTTGGAAAAAGTTCTAATTTTGTGCCTATGTGTATGTATTTTAAAACTGAAACTATGAAATATGCTGAAAATCAGGAAATCTCAAAGACTTATTTGTGTATTTTCACAGCTATACACCACGATTCCCTGCAGAGAAATTTCCCGTAGTCATTGGCACATATGCCCTGCCCTTAGCAAGCACCTGCATATAAATCCTATCCACCCAAGCATACATAATCCCTACAGAACTGCGAAATATATTTATTTTATAATGTAAAATGCACAACCTGAGACGGGATTCCTTTTTTTTTTTTTTTTGAAGGTGGGTGGATAGGAGACAGAAAAATGACCGCAACAAGAGTTAATCCTTAACCAAATGCATTCACTGCCCCTTTTAGGTAAGAACAAGTAAATTACTGAATAATGAAATAATAATAACTTGATATAATAACGCCGATGATGATAGCGATGAAGAGTTTGTAGACGCCCTCTGGCAGCAGAAACCTCTCCACGGCCGTGCAGAACGCGAAGCTAGATAGCTCCCCAACCCCCATTTTCAGAACCTTTTAATACTGGCAGGTGAACTGCGAATTGTGGGAAATGGGGGTAGCTCAGGACACTGCGCAGAAACCCGTCTCCCCAGGCTGCACCCCGGGGGCGAGCGCCAGCTCCAGGGAGCCGGGCGCAGTGTGCGGCGCGGGGCACTGCAGAGCTGGCGGCGCTCCACGCGTCCACCCGCCACGTGCGCCCCGACCTCGGCGGCGCCTGCGGGATCTGGACCCCAGCTGGGGAGGGGTGGGCGCTAGCCGCGCCCCGTTCTAGGATAGACGGCTTTTCCTATGGAGACCCTCCTGGGGAATATGAGCGTGGGCAAGGGCTTCGGCTGGGAAGAAATGTCCCCGAGCTCCGTGGGTGGGAGCCCACCCCGCATTCCCGGGAAGGGGTCACCTCTGTCGTCTCGCGGCCTGGCCGAGGGTGGCCGCGCCTTTGTGCGGCCGGGCGGGGCTCGAGCCAGCCTTTCTGCAGAGCCACCCACTTGGCTGGGAGGGGTTCACTGCTGGCACCGAGAGCAACGCCCGATTGTCTTGGGTGTTTGCGTACAACAAGGGGTGCCTGGGCGGCTCCGAGCTGCAGGGCTGGGAAAAGGGGACTCCAGACCGCAAGCTGGTCCACCGTCTCCCAGCTCCGCGAGGAGGGTGGGGCAGGGCGGAGCCGCCCAGAGCCAGCCCTCCCTGCAGTTTGCCCTCTTCTCGGCGTCCCGCAACCCGTTTCTGGGGAGGGGTGCTTCCAGTGGCCCCCTGTGCCGGAACTGCGGGGCACTTGAGTCGCAGACTAGTTGGGGATGGAGACCCCCTTCCGGAATCTTGTTCTGTCTCAGTTCTCCATTATCTCTGTCTCTGATACAGGTTTAGCCTATGAAATTGCTGATAATTGGCCCTTTTCTGACCCACAAAATGGAAATTTCATGTGGCTCAACTTAATACGTTGACCTCTTTTGCTTTATATTACGTTTGCCTATCTTTGTATAATTATATTTACATTTGTTGTCTAGGTTTCTGAAGCTTTTCCCCAAAACGATCAAATGAGCTCAAAGAAGCGTTTATATACATCTATGTCTAAGCACCCAATGTACTGTTTCTGAAAGAAAAAAATGTTAACCTATTCTCCACCCCCCAACCCCCCCCACCCCCCGATCCTAAAAAGGAACAATAAGGCCAGGGTAGGGAGGGCGGGGCAGTGGTCAGATCCCGCTCGGAAGGGAAGCAGAGGCGAGGAGTCAGGAAGGCGGGGCGTGGCGCCGCCGTCCCCGCAGGGCTGGGCTCCTGGGTGTCGGCTCCGCTCGCGGCCAGACCCCCTTACTGCTGAAGATGCTGCCCAGAGCTGGGGGGTGGGGGAGCGGTGGCGCGGCTCGGCGCAGGGTGGGGCTGCCTGCATTGTGAGTCCAGCGCTGCAGGTGCCTGCCCCCCCTCCCGGGACCTCCCGTCCGCACACAAAGAAACCCCACCCCAGCGCCTTCCAACCGCGGTCCCTCCACTCCTCCCTGCCGTGCACCTCCCCGCCCCTGCAGCTGCCCACCCGCGCCCTCCACACCCTCCCCGACTTCCTCTTCCCCCTCCCTTTCCCTAAAACAAAGGAGCAGCGCCCCCGCCCCCCGCACCGCGCCCCAGGACTAGCGGTTTCTCCAACTAGACAATACGAGAAAATTTGCCCCGCTCTCCCCCTCTTCACGCGTCTCCACCCATCTCTCTAGCAGCCTGGATGGGACCGCTTTGACTTTGCATTCTTCTTGCTTTCTATCTCCCTAACCTTCTTCCCCATGTTATTTTTTAACTAGAGAAGAAATAAAAGACGTTACAAAGCACTTTTCAAAATGTTTCTTAACCCCATTTACAGGAAAACAGTTAAAATCACCCCTCCCCCACGATTGAACCTGAATTTTAAATATGGAAACAGAATAAATCCCCACCCAAGGGAGGGCAACTTACCTGCTTCTACCTTTTAAAAGAAATTCTTGTTTTTAGATTTCCACCCTTTTTTGCCCTCCCACCGCCCCCAGTGCTACCTCTGTCCTTCTAGGCACTTGTGTTACCATGAACCCATGAACGGTTTTTTTTTTTTTTTTTCTTTATAAAATATCTCCGAATGCCTTCTATGCTCTAACAGAGAAGGTGAGAGGTGGGCTCCAGGGCGAGCCGTGGGGGAACGAGGCGCGATGCCTTACCCATTGCTGTTTTAGCCATTGTGGGGATGTGCAGATGCTGAGCAGCGGAGAAGGCGTAGGGTCCGGCTACAGCAGCGGAGAGAGCAGGAGAGAAGACTGAATAAGGCACTGAGTCTGCAGAGTGGGACCGTGCGAGAGAAAGAGCAAGAGGCAGGAGCCCATGAATAATTATCACGCAGAAGCTCAAGCAGATTGGCTCCCAAGGTCCCCTGACATGACTCCCGCAGAGTCAGAATCTCCAAGCATTAAATATTGATCGGCCAATGGTGCTGGAGTACAAAGTACCAGAATGCAGTTTGAAATGGAAATTAGTCCTTTCTTGGTAGCTCCCCCCATTTTGGGGGCCTGATAGTACAGTCCAAGGAGAGTGTTGCTTTAGCCCAGAAGCCTCCTAGGAGCCAAGAACTGGGCTGTGCTTACCTGGGGTCTAGGAGGCTTGACTTTGTTCACATACGTTTTGTTGCACAAATAGATTTAAAAAAAAAAAAAAAAAAAGAAGAAGAAAAAGAAGAAAGGGACTCAGAGGCCTGAGAAGTCCTCACTATATACTGGCTGCTGGAAATATCTGTTTAAACACTGCATTTTTACTTTCGGATGTTTTCTCTCTCACCTCTGGCCCTGTCCTTGTTAAGTTCTAGACTTCTAGGGCGACCCCACATCTGGCTGTGGTTGCAGCTCAGAAGAGGCCTACATTATTATTATTGGTCTTTTATCACCAAGCACAGATGGATTCAGGCGTCCCTGGTCTCTTGAGGATCTCCCACTCAGAGAGGGAGGGAAGCCTGGTGTTTTCTCCTCTTGGCCCAGAAAGAAGGGCTGCCTGGGCTGTTTGGGAATAGGGACAAGTAATTATGGTTCACTTGGGAACCTGGTGGAAAAAGATGAGAGTTAACCTCCTGTGCCTGTTTCCTACCATCTGGTAGCAGCACAGAACCAGGTCCTCAGGCCATGGTGGGCTTAGGTGTCTGGGGAGTGACTGCCCCCGTGCACAGGAGGTGTAGGATTATATGGATTGGATCTTCAGTGACCTCTCCAGGCTTTAAGCCTAGTGGAGATGAAAGACATGCTTTGGCACATTCTAATTTTTTAGATCTAGTGACTCCATCTATCTTGGTGAAAGAGAGATGTGCTCAAGTTTCATGTTGAGCCAAGTGGTGTGTGAGGATCTCGGAGACCAGCTGCAGAAAGTGACTTTTCATTTTGAACAAGACATTCAGTAATTCATTCTTACTCTCTTAATGAGTAAAATTCATTAATTTGCCAAATGCCAAGCTCTGAGGATAAAGCCGTGAGCAATATAGGGGACTTGCTCTCATGAAGCTTTTAATCACTGTTAGTTAAATATTCTATGATTTTATGGAACCTTTCCACAGTCTGAATCTATGCATAAACTGTGGTTTTGTTGTTAGAAAACTAGACCAAGATACCACAAATTCCAAACTACTAAAAAGCTGAAAGATTAGCACTTTGTTGCAATAATAGATATGTATGCAACTCTTTCAACCAAAACAATAAAAAGGTTTTATTTTCACAAAAATGCTTGAGATTTTTCTTATGAATGAAATATGCTCTTAGCAACTTTCTATAAAACTACATTTCAAAATTTCTTTCTAGGCTCATGAAAAATAGGCAGTTTTGAATTAAAAAAAAACACATTTTGAAAATAGTAAGGTACTCTCCTTGGTGCTGAAACTGCCTCACCTCCTATTACATTGTAAGAGATTTTAACCTCATGGACATCTTGCTGAATGATAGGATGCTACTGAAACTGGAGAATTGTGACTTGCTGAATCATGGGGAAATAAAAGATAAAGCAGGGATCAATAAAATTATTTTTTAAGCAGGAATATTAAAAATTATGGTGCCTGCCATCGCACAGATCCGTGACTATGACACAGCAAGAGAGCAATATGGAAGTTGGCAGGGTCTGGGAATAAATAACCATTTTCTCTCTTTCTATAGTAATTTCCACTTTAAATGTGAGAGTTAATTCCCTCTCAGTGGAGTACTTACCGGCTCAGCTTGTCTGTATGACTAATATCTTTAAAGTATTTCTCTTCTCATCATCATACCCTTCCCCTCAGGCTATGTGTCATCTCTACACAGTCTTCAGCTTCCCTGGAAAACAAGGGCCTTAAGTCATAGCATTAGTGTCTTTAACAACTGCAAATGGCACTTGAACAAGATCTATTGCACTTTTGATCACTCTGAGAAAAACAAAAAAGCATGTAAACTGTACTAAACTCTCATTCTCTGGTGAACATTACTGACTGATGAGTAAGAATGTGAAAGGAAGGTCAGTCTACAGAGGACAAGCATCAGACGTGTGAATTTTTGGCTAATTCTGGCTTTCTGAGTTCTAGGCACTTAACCTCCGTTAGATAGGAATTTCAAATAATGTCAAGCAGAAGACAGGCTAGGCTTATATGATTTAGTATAAAATATGAAAACAGCAAGTTATCATAAACTGGCAAGAAAAACTAAATAAGTTCAAAGAGCTGGATTACAATCAATTATAGTCTTTTTTTTTTTTTTTTTTTTCCAGCATTACAATGTTCAATCATGAATTTCACCTTAGGAGAATAGGGGCAAAATAGGCACAGAAATAATATTTAATATTCCACAATTTACTTACTCATTCATTCATTCAATTAATTCATTAAAAATATTTATTCAATTAATTCATTTAAAATATTTATTTAATGCTATTTAGACCTTTACATTATGAAAATAGACAAGGTTAACATCTAAAATATGTAAAATGGAGAAAAAAGTAAACCCTATATCTTTAAGAATACATTATTCATTTTAAAGAATAAATTTATCCTGTCCATCAGAATGCTTTTGGTTGCAAGCAACAGAAAAACTAGCTGAAACTGGTTTTGGTTATGAAAGGGGATTTATTGGCTCTTCTAACTACAGAGGCAGAATAGGCCCTGGCAGTATGGAGATGAGAATCAGCTTTCCCTTGGTTTAGATGGGGATGGGTAGATAACCAAACTAAAGAATAAATATAACCAAATTAAAGAACAAGACCAAGGGGACTGGCAGAGTGAGGAGTCAGCCACAGGGATCCAGGTGAGAGGAGGGAACTCAGGCCATGCTCCACAAGCGGCAAGGTGGAAAAGCAGTGGAAAGGAGAGGAAGAAAGAGAGGGGGCCGGGACAGAGGGAGGAGGAAGCAGTAGGGATCCAGGTAAGAGGAGGTTGGAGAGGTTTTGAACAGCTAAGGGAGACAAACTTGTCTGTCGATTTGTCCTGCTGTGGTGATGTGTTGCGGTGAGTCATGAGGCTGTGCCACTGGTGTTTCAAACCCAGTGGGGTGCACATGGTGCACAGGTCTCAGCAGGGCTTGCAGACTGAGACAGACTAGGAAGAAGGAGGAAGCCATCCATTTCTCAAAGAACTGGCCAGGAAAAACCTTATAAATAGCAGAGAAACACTGTCTGATATATTACTGTGCACCTTTATGAATAGTCCAGAAACATTGTCCAATACAGAGGATGAGGGTGAGTCACTTAGGTTAGAAGCCTCTCAAAATACGACTGGGAAAGAGCTGCATCATCAGAGTAAACCCAGCCTTACTCATATGGATAAGGTAAAGCTTTCAAGACCTCCATTTGCTAATGTGGCACCACTCAAATTTAGGAGAAACAGCTGCAAACATCCATTAATAATCAGGACATGAAATGTACGAAGTATGAATCTAGGAAAATTGGAAGTTGTCAAAAATGAAATGGAACACATAAAGATTGATATCTCAGGCATTAGTGAGCTGAAATGGACTGGTTTTGGCCACTTTGAATCTGACAACCATATGATCTACTATGCCACAAATGAAAAATTGAAGAGGAATGGCATGGCATTCATCATCATAAAGGGTGTTTCAAGATCTAACCTGAAGTACAATGCTGTCAGTGATAGGATAATATCCATACACCTGCAAGGAAGACCCATTAATACAACTATTACTCAAATTTATGTACCAACCACCAAAGCCAATGATGAGGAAATTGAAGATTTTTATCAACTTTTGTAGTCTGAAATTGACCAAACATGCAATCAGGATTTGTTATTACTGGTGACTGGAATGGAAAAGTTGGAAACAAAGAAGAATCACCTGTAGCTGGAAAATTTGGCCTAGGTGACAGAAATAATGCTGAAAATTGCATGATAGAATTTTTCAAGACCAACAACATATTCATTGCAAATACCCTTTTTTTCAACAACACAAATGGCAGCTCTACACGTAGACTTCCCCAGATAGAGTACACAGGAATCAGATTGACTACATCTGTGGCAAAAGGTGGTGGAAAAGCTCAATATCTTCAGCCAAAACCAGACCAGGAGCTGATTGTGGAACAAACCATCAACTGCTCATATGCAAGTTCAACTTGAAGTTAAAGACAATTAAAACAAGTCCATGAGATCCAAAATATGATCTTGAATATATCCCTCCTGATTTTAGAGACCATCTAAAGAATAGATTTGATGCATTGAACAACAATGACTGAAAGCCAGAATTGTTGGATGACATCAAGAACATCATCCATGAAGAAAGCAAGAGGTCACTAAAAAGACGAGAAAAGAAGAGAAGACCAAATTGGATGTCAGAAGAGACTGTGAAACTTGCCCTTGAGTGAAGAGTAGCTAAAGCAAATGGAAGAAATGACAAGATAAAAGAGCTGAACAGAAGGTTTCAAAGATCAGCTTGAGCAGACAAAGCCAATTACTATAATGAAATGTGCAAAGACTTGGAGTTAGAAAACCAAAAGGGAAGAACATGCTCGGCATTTCTCAAGCTGAAAGAACTGAGGAAAAAATGTAAGCCTTGAGTGGCAACATTGAAAGATTCTATGGGCAAAATATTGAATGATGCAGGAAGCATCAAAAGAAGATGGAAAGAATTCACAGAGCCACTGTAGCAAAAAGAACTGGTCGATCTTCATCCATTTCAGGAGGTGGCATGTGATCAAGAACCAATGGTATTGAAGTCAAAGCTGCAATGAAGGAATTGGCAAAGAACAAGGCTCCAGGAATTGACAAAATACCCATTGAGATATTTCAACAAACAGATGCCGCACTGGAGGCACTCACTCGGTTATGCCAAGAGATTTGGAAGACAGCTACC